GACTAAGGAAAACCCTTTTGTATGTTCCATTACTGGAAGGGTTGGTTTGTTCATCCTAATTATTTCATCTCTTCCTTCCAAGATCCCATTTGAGTAGTAAGTTTCTCTAGGAGGTCTTGTGTTGCTTGAGATCTAGTGTCAATCTTACTATTGAGCTCAATAACTTGAGCTTCCAATTTCTTCATTCGTTCATCTATAGGATTGGGCTTTGATACCAATTGTAACAACCCAATACAAAAGCAAAAAAAAAAAAAAAAGGAAAGAACATTAGAGTATACGGAGAATTAGAGAAGAAAGAGTGAGATAAACACTGAAAAAATTGTATTCAATCCAAGCATAAACTCATACATATTGAGTCATTTACAAGCCAAAAATGCTCTTAAACTCCCTTCCCCACAACCTGGAACCTAATCTAAACAAACTAACATAATGGAGTGAAACATATTGTCGTTTGAAGGCGTAACTATTGCAACCAACTAAAAGTTGAAACGACATCGTCTGAAGTTCAACCTAACGATTCCCAAGTTCCAGCTTGTCCAACATCGTCATTTTGGCTCGCCTTCCCCATTTCTATTGCCTTCTTCCCTATTATTTCCTTATTTGTTTTCCTCCTACCTTTTTCCTTAATTGCTAAGGTCATTACAATGTGATTTAAACACAGAGAAGACAATGTTTTTTTTTTTTTTTAAGAATAATTATAGTATATCATTTATATTCTTTTAGGATTAAGATTCAAAGAACAATAATTTTCACTTAAAAAAAAAAAATAAAGTTGAAAGAAACAAACCAAATATTATATCTTAATTATGACCACAAAGAAGAAAATAATTGTAAAAAGAATTTAAAAATTTTTAAAATTTAAAATGACACGAGTTCCATTTTGTGTACACTAATTTAATTGTTGTTGTTGTTTTTGTTGTCATTATTATTATTATTATTATTATTATTATTATTATTATTAAAAGGTTAGAAAATATAAGTTATGAACAAAAAAAAAAAAAGTTAACGGAATATTCCGTTACTAAAGTTTGTACATAAATAAAAAAGTAAAAAGGAAAAGATGGTAATTTGAAAATATCTTATCATTGTATAAATAATAATAATAAATCAAAATATACAAGTTAGTAATGCACATTATTACATTAACATAGTTTTTATTCACATTTTAACATTGGCTCTTACTATATTTATTATTTAATAAAAATAAAAATAAAAATATTCTCTACTAATGTATAGCATGGAAAAAACGATAAAATAGTCCTAGGTAAATTTTTAAAATTTTGTATGATTTAATAAATTATAATTGAATTATTATCAATTAAAAATTTTATGAATTAAACAATTAATTAACAGATACTACATTGTAATAGAGCTAGTAGCATTCAAAAAAAAAACAATTAATTAATTCAAAATGTTAAAAAGAAAAATTGACATTTCTTCAGAATATGCTAGAAAAATGAAAAATAGATTAATGTACAATAACGACGTCGCATGAACTAAGCGGACATTATTAACGTGACGTCGCCACGTTGGAGCACCGGGGGCCATCAGTTTAGTTCCTTTCTCGTATTTTCTTCTGTTAATCTTTCTTCTTCTTCTTCGATCACGAAGATGAACTGGTTATCGTAGAAAGTAATGCCGATGATAATGAAGAAGAACGTTCTGATGCTAGCGAGAGCGGTCGGGAATACGAGGAATAATACCACAATCGGAATTCTGAAAAGTCATGGCATTGTAGGATCAAGGCTTCGGCTCTGGATTTCTTCCGCCGCTGCCGACGGCAACGGCAAGAGGTTCGCCGCTTTGTGGGGAAACGGCGATTTCGGGAGGCTGGGACACGGCAGCATTGAATCGCGGTGGACTCCTGACACTCTGCAACCTTCCGCTTTTCATAATCAGAGCCTCCGCGACATCGCTTGTGGCGGTGCTCACACTCTTTTCCTCACGGGTTCGTTAGATCCCTCAACTTGATTTTCTAATGATTTATGTGAATTTGATCTTGTAGTATGTGTACAGGAGTACTTGATTGTTTGAATAGAAGCTGAAATCCATTCTCTATGTTGTTTTCTGGTTTCCTTTCTCTGGGAGAGACTTATATCTCTATGCTGATCAACCTCATTATTCCCTAAACTTCTTTTGACCCGTTTTTTAGGACTGATTTTCTTGAAAGGTTTACATAAACTTTAACTGCATCATTGAATGCTTTGGAACACAATTTCTTCTTTTACTTTTGTTCTCTGGCCAGTCTTTTTGGCCTTTCTCCTTGAAAGTCCTCTTCTTCTTTTAAGTGTACACTGGGCCATGCTTCCATGCTCTTATGCTCAACTCTGAACACCACTGTTGATATATTCCATATTGCCTTTGAATTAAACATTGTCTAGTGCATTTGTAAGGGAGATAGTCATAAACTAATCATCCTCTTTTGACAGAAAATGGCAGTGTTTATGCTTGTGGTCTCAATGATTTTGGACAGCTAGGCATTTCAGATGATAAAAGTTATACTACCGTACGAGCTATCTTGTCCTGTCTTTTTCTTCTCTTTCATTCTTTTGGGGTTGGGGAGATGGTTGTCCTTTCATAAGGGAGGTGTGCTACTTTAGTTATTGTGGTTAAATGCTAAACATAAGTTTTTTTTTTGTTGTAGTTTCTTCCGTTAGTGTTGTTTTTTTTATACAAATCAAACAGGAAAGTAATCAAATAATCATTCTAGTGGTAGAATTCAAGGAAGCATAGAATAGGGGATTGACTGATTATGCAAATCCTTGCTTATTTTATGGAGCGAATAATTATGGATTGACTAATCATTAATCAGTAATCGATGCTCCTACCTTGTTTTACATATAGTAATAGACTATAAATAGGGACCCCATCTCTTAGTAGAGAGGGCATCCAATCATCTATTCTAAGTTCTATTATAGTTGTAGTAGCTGGACAAAAGCCTGAAACTCTTGTTGGAGGGTATCTTAGTGACAGCCCTGTGCCTTTTTTCCGTTCAATAAACCCATTTTATCTTTCTCTTCTTTTTCCTTGTTCTTTACTCTAACAAATTGGTCTAACTTGTCGGAGATTGACGAACACACGATTGGATTCTCGTGTAGAGGCGTTAGAGAAGAATCAAGATGAGATACGTATCAAATTAACAGTGCTGAATGGTAAGTTTGCAGCAATTGAAACTTCCATCGCTAAACTAACAAAGGTGGTTACCTTGTGGCTGCATAGTAATGGGCATGACGTATCCAATCTTGTCACCAAGGCTGGCTCCAAGATTGAATCCCCAATAGAAAAATCCAACACCACCAAACTACCTCTCCACCCCACCACCACAAGTGGCCCCCAACTCACTACCATGAGGATTGAAGTTCCTAACTTCAATGGGATTGATATGAGTGACTGACTTGCTCAAGAAGAGCATTCCCTTGTTATCCAACAAACACGTGAAGAATTGAAGGGGTACAACAGCTTTTGATAGTAAGGAAGGACCAACATTTCAGGTGCCGCAAGAACTTTAAAGTGGGACTCATGGACAAATTCAATAGTGATATCTCCACCCCTTTTGTTGAATAACCGATTGTTCTTCATCAAGTCAACACTATGGATGAATTTGTTAATGAATACCAAGCACATGTCTATGTCATCCATTCACCACCAAGGCTCTTGCCGACCTTTTTGCCAAGCTACTCTGGTCAATCTAGATCACGCTCAACATCATCGGGCCAAGACAGCCCAAGCGAAAAGGTGTGACTTAGTTTGCTAAGGGTAATAATGTCTTGCTTAAGTTCCAGCCTCATTGTCACTCTACAGTCCAATGTCATATCAATGCAATGCTAGCACAATGGTATATGGGCCTTTTAGAATTTTGAAAAAATTAAGTGCAATCTCCCACAAATGACCGCTGCCACCCACATTTAGAGTATACCATGTTTTTCTTGGGTTACAACTTAGGCATGTACATGACATCATGTTTTGCACTCTAGCCTTGAGAACAAGGATGTTTCATTAGCGGTCGGTAATGATACAAATCAAGCAGGAAAGGAAAGTAATCAAATAATCATTCTAGTGGCAAAATTCAAGCAATCATAGAATAAGGGATTGACTGATTATGTAAGTCCTTGCTTATTTTATGGAGCGGAGAATTGGGGATTGACTAATTAGTAATTGATGCTCCTATCTTATTTTACATATAGTAATTGACTATAAATAGGGACCATCTCTTAGAAGAGAAAGCATCCAATCATCTATTCTAAGTTCTATTATAGTTGTAGCAGCTGGACAAGGCCTGAAACTCTTGTTGGAGGGTGTCCTAGTTGTTAGATGAATAAGGGGTAGTTAGAGTGTAGTTAGAGTTTCACTCTATGCCTTATGTTTATTTTGAATTCTGTGGCAAGTGGCTTTGTAGCTTATGTATAAATAGGATTTCTTCCTGTACTGCAAGATACAAATATACACACTGTTCTTTCTAGCTTTCAACACTTAACATGGTATCAGAGCCTAGGAAGTAAGAGTGGTTGCTTGGGCTGGGTTTGGAAGTAGCGGAGATGCCGCTACGAGGAGTCAGGTCGCCGTCGGAGAGCACACGTGCCACCGTCGCCGAGCTGCTCCGCCTTGACGCGCCGGCGCGTGTGGTTGATTTCGACGACGCTGTCGGTCAGTTTTTGTATCCACAGGGTCGCCTCGTCGTGCTGAATCCAGGGAGGTAGGATGTGTTGAAACTTTTCAATCTGGTTGGTCCTTGTGGTGAAAGAGGTACGGACAATAAACCTTTTTTTCTTTTCTGGGTGAAGTTTTGTTCATTTGTTGAATCTTTGGGCGAAGATTAAATGACACAAGAAAGGAATATCACTGTTATTTCCACACCATCTAAATTAATTGACGTAGTTCTGGCTTCAGATGAGTCTAATTTTTTTGAGTGGAAATTTCTGATTAAAGTAAATTTAGATGGTATAGGGAATGGTGACCATCGAGATAAAGAGTGTCCTACAGATGCTACTTTAACTGTGGACATAAGGCTTTACTGTCACGTATAATTAATTGCATCGATAGGAGAATTATTTTGTCCATGCAACATTGCCAAACTGTAAAAGAAGTGTAGGAGTTAGTGAACAAATGGTTTAGTGGAACAAGTAATTTGAGAAAATTATATCAGTTATCTTAGGAAGTATATCGTTCTAGTTAAAAAGGGCATGAGCTTAGAGATTATTACTACGACTTTAAAAGTGTATGTGTTGCTTTGTGTGCTGCTATGCCAATAATAGACGGTGTGGATGAAATGAAAAAGCAACGTGACAAATTACTTGTTTTTAGTTGGATTTTTGGCGGGATAAAGAGTATGATGTCCTTAGGTCCCAACTGTTGGGGAATAAGGACTTAGAGTCTTTGGATCAAGCATTTCCATGCTACAAAATGCATCGGGAAACAATGACTCGAACGAGCTCCAGGAAAGAAATATCTTTATGGGGTGTGGATCCAAGTACCCCCTGGTATCACAAGGAGGAAGTACTGGTGAGAGCTATGGCTATCGAGGAGGTAATAACCGCTTCAGAAGATGTGGGGGGTTTTCGGAGAGGTCGTTGCGGACGTAGAGGACCATGAGTTTGTTTTAACCGTGGATCCAGGACACTTTCGAAATCAGTATCCTAAGCCACCAAGACAACAAGTGGGCTGCTAATACGGCTTCCACGTCAAAAGGTCACACGGTAGTGATGACAGCTGAGGAGTTTGCTAAATTCAACCTGATGAAATTTTCTTCTTCCTCGCAATATCCATCCAATCAAGTGTCTTCCTCTGCAACTTTTGTTCAAACAGGTAATCCAGTTGCTTGTGTTTCTTCTGCATCTCGGCAGTGGGTCATTGACTCAGGGGCTTCTGAGCATATGACAAGTAACTCCAATATTTTTTCTACATATCTACTCGTCACATCTGGTCATACCGTTACTCTAGTAGACGGGTCTGTAGCCACTGTTTTGGGTAAAGGTTGTGCCACTGCAACCTCCTCGTTACCCCTTACTTCTGTGTTATACCTTTCGAAGTTTCCTTTCAATTTGCTTTCTATTAGTCAAATAACTCGTGACCTGAATTGTTCTGTTATGTTTTTCCCTGACTACTGTCTGTTCCAGGATCTTTTGACGGGGAGGATTATTGGTAAGGGGAAGGAGGTTGGCGACTTGGCGGTCTGTATGTCTTAGAGCAGTCTACATCACTCGAGAACATATCTACAGGTTTGATGAGCAATGTTTCTCCATTTCAGTTGCACTCTTGGTTTTGTCACCCATCTTTATCAACGCTAAAGAAGATGTGTCCTGGTTTAGAGTCTTTGATTGCTTTGCAGTATAAGTTTGCAAAACCTCATCATGTTCCCTAAATTTCTCGGGTAAATAATAGACTCCTTGTTTGAGTTGATTCATTATGATGTTTGGGGTCCATGTCGGGTTACGTCCAAAAATGCCTTATGTTTATTTTGAATTCTGTGGCTAGTGGCTTAGTAGCTTATGTATAAATAGGGTTCCTTCTTGTACAGCAAGATACGAATACACACACTGTTCTTTCTAGCTTTCAACACTTAACATTAGTGACAGCCCTGTGCCTCTTTCCCATTCAATAAAACCATTTTATCTGTTATGGAATTTGTTAGAGTCCTAAGGTTTTTGTTAGAGGTTTTTGGGTTAGCTATCATGTCTTCCTTGTACCTATATATACTGTATAGTCTCAAGCTTAATAAATCATCAAACACAGTGAGTTAGACACTACATAGCCTTCCTTCAAACGTTAACATGGTGTTAGAGCTGGCGAGAGTGAGATAGTGGGTTGTGCTCAGAATAGTAGGGCGACGCTGGAGCTAGAATCGGAGCCGCCATTCGCCGCCGCTTCATTGCTGCTTTGGCGCCACGTGTCGGTGCGTGTGGCAGTTTCCGGCGGCATCCCCAGTCGAGGTGTACACCGGTCGACTCACCTCTGTGAGTAGGTTCCGTCCATGTATGTTTTGTAGAGTTGTGGTTTGTTGATGTTCTGCACTTGAGGGTCTTTGTTTGTTTTTTCCTGGGTTGAACATGGCAGAGGGAAGTAATAGGAATATTACTGTTGTATCTACGTCGTCAAATTAAGTGATGTGGTATTGGTTGCTGATGGGTCTAATTTTGCTTAATGGAAATTCTTGATTATCCCGAGAGATATAGGAGGATAGTTGGGAAGTTGAACTATCTCACCATTACGCGTTCGGATATTGCTTTTACGGTAAGTGTGGTGAGTCAGTTTTACGGTAACCCACTGGGAGGCGGCAATTCGAATTGTAAAGTATCTCAAGAATGCTCCCGGGAAGGTATTTTATATGTTGATCGTGGACATACGAGTGTTGAGGCATTTTTTAATGCTAACTCTGGAGGTTCGTTGAGTGACAAGAGGTCTACGACGGGGTATTGTGTGTTTGTAGGAGGTAATTTGGTTTCTTGGAAAAGCAAGAAACAAATTGTTGTGGCTCGGTCCAGTGCAAAATCTGAGTACAGGGGCGATGGCTCATGTGGCGTGTGAGATAACTTGGGTGCACAATATTCTGAAGGAGGTTGGCGTAGAGGTGATGAAGCCCATACGTCTGTGGTATGATAGTCAAGCAACTATACACATTTCAATAATCCGGTTTTCCATGAGCGGACCAAGCATATTGAGGTAGATTGTCATTTTGTACGTGAAAAAGGTTCAACAAGGATTACTTTCTATGGCTCATGTTCGCAGTGGCGACCAACTAGCTGATTTGTTCACTAAAGGGCTCAACAGGGACAGGGTTGAATATATTTGTAACAAACTAGACATGATAAATATCTATGCTCTAGCTTGAGGGGGAGTGTTAGAATAATTTGGAATTTGTTAGAGTCCTAAGGTTTTTTTTTTTAGAGGTTTTTGGTTTAGACTGTGGCTATCATGTCTTCCTTGTACCTATATATACTGTATAGTCTCAAGCTTAATAAATCGTCAAACACAGTGAGTTAGACACTACAGAGCCTTTTTCCTTCAAACGTTAACATTATCTTTCCGGCAGGTCGGACCAATTTGTTAGAGTAAAGAGCAGGGAAAAAGAAGAGAAAGATAAAATGATTTTATTGAATGGGAAAGAGGCACATAGTTGTCAGTCTGTCACTAAGACACCCTCCAACAAGAGTTGCAGGCTCTTGTCCAGCTGCTATAGCTATAATAGAACTTAGAATAGATGATTGGATGACCTCTCTAAGAGATGGTCCCAATTTATAGTGTATTATTATATGTAAAATAAAGTAGGAGCATCAATTACTGATTACATGATTAGTCAATCCCTAATTATCCGCTCCATAAAATAAGCAAGGATTTACATAATCAGTCAATCCCTTATTCTATGCTTCCTTGAATTTTGCTACTAGAATGATTATTTGATTACTTTCCTTTCCTGCTTGATTTGTATCAGTTTTGAACTTTTAATGATATCATAGTATCCATTTTAATTATAAGCCAATTATCTCAAATTAAACTTTTAAGTAAAATAGCCTAGTCTGCCCAGATGAAATTAATCAACATATTTTATTAGTTAAATTGGCATGAAATTGCTATTGCAGGAACCAGTTCGTGTTGCCGCACTTCCCAAAGACATTATAAAAATTTCTGCGGGTTATCATCATTCTTGTGCTATCACAGGTTTGTTATAAATTACCAACGAGGACGTATTAATGTATTATTATATACATATATTTCATGGTTTAGACCATTTAGTAAAACATTCCTGCTATCACGGTATTCTCAAAAAACTGTAGTGGGCATGGATGATTTATTCACATCTTAAACTCTTTACAGAGTTGATACTTGTTGAAATCTTTTGTCAGGACCAACTTTGTGTTGATTTTTCTCTTGTCTGGATAATATAACCTTATCAAGAGAAAAGGGAGAAAATTATAAGAGAAACTGAGAACCTGTGTTCTTAAAAATTCAAAAAACCATTGCTCAGTGGTGGAGAATAGTTAACCTCACATTATTCTGTTGATTAACTTATGGTTTTTATTTGCTTATCAACATAATGCCTCTATGTCTTGGCTTATATTTTTCTTTGGAGATGGGGTTTTACTTGGTATTTTTCCTTAGCTTTATTCATCTCTGTCAAAATTAGTCATTTCCTGAATTCTTTGCAGTTGCATTTCTGTTTTATGCTTGTGATATTTATTCTTTTATGTTGCAGTTGATGGTGAACTCTATGTGTGGGGAAAGAACTCAAATGGGCAGCTTGGCCTCGGAAAAAGTAATAGTTTAACTTTTATAATTTTACTTAGGTTGAATTAGACTTGCTTATCCTTTATAAGTGATTCTTACTGCTGCTATAAAATTTAATAGCAGATATAATGGCTTTGATAATACTGATAAAAATGTATCAATCGTGAAATAGTTTAACTTGTTGACTCTTTACTGTGATTGTCTTCAGAAGCTGATAAAGTAGTTTCAGTTCCTAGAAAAGTTGAAAGTTTGAATGGACTAGCTATAAAAACAGCTTCCTTGGGCTTTGAGCACTCAATTGCTGTTACAGGTATGAGATTTAATTCTTGGCATCATGAACATGAAGAAGCACCCTTATTTCAGTATGTTATTGATCTTCACTTTAATTAAAAATACAGAAAATTAGTGCAGAATATGTGTCTTTTTTCTTTAGCAGATAACGGTGAGGCCTTGAGTTGGGGTGGGGGAGGCTCTGGACGACTTGGTCATGGACTTCATTCAGGAATTTCAGGAGTATTAAAAAGTAACAGGTCCATTCTGATGGTTGAAAATATTCTAGCATGTTACTTGAAAGCAACACTTGATTTCCAGTTTTTAGCAATTGGATCATGCCTGCTTCTCTAACATGTGAACTTCTTGTATACTGGCTTACGAAAATTTGTCAGCTCACTCTTAACTTGCAGGACTCCTTACCAATAGAAAAAGGTCTTCTCTAATGAAGTATTATACATGGTTAAATGTGTTTCCTTTTGATCTTCCTTTGCATTCTACAGCTTGCAGAATAAAGAAAGTTCACTCGTTGATTTGTGATCTTTGGAGTTTTGACAATGAAACACATATTGGGGGTGTTTGGTTTAAGTGTTTCAAGCTCCCCTATGGGATTTAAATCTTGTTGAAAAATGTAGAAGAATGAAAAGATTCATTGTATTCCCTGTCTAGAGTTGTACATGTATCGACTATTTATACAGGAATAAGCTATAACCTAATGGACTCAGTCCTCATAGGCCTAGGGTTTCAATACTCCCCTCAAGCTGGAGAGTATAAATCATATGCTCTAAGCTTGTTACAAATATACCCAACTCTAGGAGTCCCAAGGTATTTTGTTAAGATATCAGCTAATTGATCTGCAGAATTGACAAAGCTGGTTTTGATGCACCCTGACACAATCTTCTCCCTGATGAAGTGGC